TAATATCAAAAGTATCGTGTGCTACACATTAGAGTTTTGATCATCGATCGATAGACGGGGAAAAAAAAAAGTTTACACGATACTTTTATAACTTTCCCTCTTTTCCCCCTCAAATGTATATACGTGTACATACGTCCGAATTCTATGTTCGTTCTCGAAACTTCGAGAGAAAATCGATGTTGAATTTTGGAATAGCTTTACTCACCCTCTTTACGTCTCTCTCTCTCTCTCTCTCGCTCTCTCAGTCTCTGTCTCTTTCTCTTTCTCTCTTTCCACCGAGTGGACAGGAAAGAACGGATAATTCGTTAGAGTAACAAGGACGGAGACGTCGTACGAGACGTGAGGGAATATTAAGATATGAAAAAAGATCATACTGATTCGTATTTTATCCTTCGAACGTTAGTTTTAATAAATTCAATGGTATAACACTTATGTAAGAGGCCGGCACGCCGGGTAAAAAGCCACATGGCTATGCGTCCACCGTAGATGGACGCCATTACGAGCAGCGCGACTACGGCCAAAGACTCAGAACGATGCCCAATTAATTCCGCCGAAAATATTTCCTTGTTATTCGTAAACACGGGGATAATAAATTGATGATTTTGTACTTACCGATGACCAGCTTTTGCTGGACAGCCTTAGGTTGTTCGGGCTGTTTCTCCGGGTCAGCCATGGTGGTGGTGTTAAGGTGTTAAGACACGCCGCTGCCGAACCTAGATGTTCCCGTCTTTCTGGTTGTGGTGTTGGTTCCCTTCTAATGTTCCCAACATGGCTGCGCCTCCAGGCGACCGGACAAACGACGTTGCCGTCTAACGATCTCTCCTATTGGCTCGTCGTTCTAACATCGTCTGACGTTGACCAATCACCGTTCAACTTCTATAGTGCATAGCCTACGCGCTGCTCACGCGCCGCCTTCTCGCGTGCAAAGAAGCGTTGAACCGCACCGCGATATGCATCGAGCCGCATCTACCGTATTTATCCCCCTATAATGCTTCTACGATTGTTTCAATAACAAAAACCACGAGTATTGTTCCATAGAATTTTTCTTTATCGTTCTTTTACTTTTTCTTTTTCTTTTTCTATTTTTTTTTCTTTTTTCTCTTTTTTTTTTTTAATGTACTCTCCGACACGATTTCTCAATCGTTATTTCATATTTTCGTCATGATCGACTTTCAAACTCGATCGATATCGACAAAAAGCAATATTGATAAGACGATCATTAATACGTTTATAAGAAATCAGATATATTCGAAATAATATCGTAAAATCAAAAAAAAAAAAAAAAAAAAAAAAAAATGATTCTAGAAACGACGATGACCATGTTAGAAACAATAAGGTTTGTAGGTGTGTCTCTGCGTGTGTATGCGCGCGCGCGAACTGGCTAGTGTATATACGTGTATATGTGAGTAATATAAAAATAATTTATTATTCTTTATATAGTTATATATTTAATTTATATTTTTCAATTATATTTAATAGTCGTATTACTAAAGTCTTACTTTAAAGTTTTAATTTGCTACGATGATCCGTGTATATGCATACATATGCGTTTTATATATATTTTCTTTTTTTTTCGTTTCTTTTTGTTTTTTTTGTTTTTTTTTCTTTTCTTTTTTTTTTTTTTTTGCAATCAAATATTTTAATTCTTTCGGATAAATGATCTTTTAGATCGCTACAATCCCGACAAGAACATTTTCACTTTCTAAAAATCATTTGTAACTGACAACTCTGTACAAGTATATGTTATCTTAATTACAGTCATACATCGCTTCAAGCACTGTATAGATAAATATCATGATTAAGTGAATTTATAAAAAGGCCCGTTATCTTCGTTTCATTTCGTTTCTACAGGAACAGACCTTCAACGACCTAGATATTATTTTCATTGTAGTAGAGATACATTAAAAATATTAATAACTTAAAAATCATAATAAAAATAATACATTCATCATTATATCGGTAAGGGCAACCGAACACTCTGTTATATTAAATAACAAGTACAATTAGTATCTAATAGATTCATTTACATGTTATCTCCTAGCTAAATACCATTTATTAAATTTATTTGAATTTGGTGATAACAACATTATAACTTAATACTAAAACTATAGCGTTACGTTCTATTATCATAATAATTCAGAGTTCTTTTTTTTTCTTTTTTTTTTTTTTTTTTATTATTATTAAAATAATAGTAATGATTTTAGCTTGGTTATTCAATATTTAGATAATAAAGAATCAAGAAAATATGTCTTATATAATGTAATACAAAAAAAAAAAAAAGAAAAAAAAAAAAAAAAAAAAAATTGGGAAAATGGCATTTTATGTTGTAAATATCCAGATTGGAAAACTTCATAAAACAAAAACAAAAATTTTTTTTATATTACAGATATTTCTCAATGAAGTTTAAGTTTCTTTTTGTCATATATATTATGTATGTATAAATTCTCTGGTCTTATATGTAAAAAAAAAGGGAAAAAAAAAAAAAAAAAAAAAAAAAAAAAAAAAAAAAAAATAAAAAGAAAGAAAAATGATTTACTTTATAATTTAAGCAAATTTTTAAATATCAGTATATCTCTCTACTGTTTTGTCATATCATTTTATATATACTTATGTATGTACAAAGAACAAATACATTTAATAATGATTGATAACATTTTGAAATAATAACAAGAACCCATTAGTAAACATACTTATTATTTTCACAGAAGCATTCGACTCACCCCTTTATTCCAATAGAAATATTAAATAATAATTGTAATATATATATATATATTTCTGCTCCAATTGTCATTTGAATGCTGAAGTAATTAGATATCGATGTATCTTGATGAAAATATACTTTACGAGTTACATGATTTTTACATTCTGCATCATCTTGGTTTTCTACCTCTAACGGTTCTTGATCGCGGTGCAGTAGAACCACTACCAATACTAAACATCCCAGGAGTTGGAGCATTAAATGTGGGTGTACCTGATGTTCCAAAATTAATCGATGGTGTTGTTGTTCGTGGAGTGAAATTAAATCCTGTAACTATGAAATACAGTAATGTTATACATCAAATATAATGTTTTCTTTTAATATATTATAATTATAGATGGATTTAATATATTAGAATTATAGATGGTATTACTACCTGGTTTAGAAGTGCTCGCACCAAATTGGAATGGGACGGATCCAGTAGTTGATACATTGTTATTAGAAGTATTATTATTACCAAATGAAAACGTGCTTTGCTGTTGTTGATCTTGATTTCCACCAAATGTAAAAATACTATTTGTATTGTTCTTATTTGTTCCAAAAACAGGTGCAACTGTAGTTTGAATTCCAAATGGTAATGTTTTATTATCACCAAATGCATTAGAATTATTTGTAGCGCCAAACGACATATTAGTTGAATTTTGGCTGCCAAAGGTATTTTGCATAGGAGTATTATTAAAAGTTCCAACTGGAGTTGTAGTCGTTGATCCAAAGAGAGGTGCTGGATTATTCTGATTTCCAAACATAGGACTTGGTGTACCAAAACTATGTGATGTTGAAGTTTGAACATTTCCTGGTGCATTTAAATTTTGTGCTCCAAATACAGCAGTCGTTGTATTTGTACTACCAAAATTGAGAGCACTGGTTGAAACACTAGGAGAACCAAATGTAGGTGCTGTTGTAGTTTGTGAACTAAATAATGGTGTACTAGAACTTCCAAACACAGTATTTGTATTTGTGCCAAAAGCAGGTTTTTCTTCTTTAAAAGTGTTGTTGTTGTTGTTGTTATTTGTACCAAATTCAATAGATGATTTTGTAGGTTGAATTGGTACAAAAGGAGATTTTGGTGAATTACCAAAAAGAGGAGCAGCAATTGCTTGACCAAATACTGGCTCACTAGTTGTTGTTCGAAACGTAGCTGCAGTTGATGTTGTATTAAATATAGATGTAGTTGTCGTAGAAAATTGTGAAGTTGTAGTAGCAGCTGGTACATTAAATCCAGAGGTTGTATTATTATTACTTGTTGTAGAAGTAACTGGTGTATTAGTTGATGCCAACAAACCACTAGAACTTCCTAGTGCATTAGCATTATAGGAAAATGCTGATTTATTTTCTGATGTTGATGCATTCGATGTCCCAAATGAAAAAATAGGTGTTGCGGTACTTAACGTAAATGTCGTAGATCCACTAGATACATTTCCACTAAATGTACCATTTGTCAAATTTAACATTGGATTACTTGGTGCAGAAGTATTATTTGTGATTATGGATGCATTACTAACTATTGGATTACTTTGAGTAATTACAGACATCCTAAATGTTATTGGAACATTACTTGTAGTTGTATTAAATAAACCAACTTCAGTTTTCGATGTCTGTACGTTATTACTTCCAAATATGAATGGAATTGTTGTAGTTGCTGTAGATGTCATCGAATTTTTATTGGTGGTATTTGTAGCATTATCTGTAATACTTTTAAAAACTGAAGCAACACTAGAAGCAACTGTAGTAACAGTAGTAGCAGTAGTAATAACATTAGTAACTGTAGGAGTTACAGTCGACATTGGTAACATTACATTTTTTGTTTCAGTTGTAAAATTTAAGCTACTTGTAGTTACATTTTGAACAGAGCCAGTATTTACTTGTGTCGATGCAGTTGTATTGACAATGTTGCCAAATGTAAATTTAGGGGTTTCAGTGTTCATTGTGGATCCTGTATTACTTACATTATGTAAGATGGAATTCCCAATGTTAGATTTGATATTGGTTTGATCAGAATTTGAAATAGTAGTCGTGATATTAGATATAGTATTCTTATTTGTAAAAAGATTATTGGAAGTAGAAGGTATTGATAATATAATGGTTGATGCTGCACTTGTAGAACTTAAAGAAGTATTTAAAATAGAAGTATTGGATTTTAATATTCCATTTGAGGCAACTGATGGTACAACTAGTGGTGTAGCTGATGCTACAGTTGGTAATGTATTTGTTAACGATTTGCCAGAAACAAAAGTTGATGTAACTGAATTGGAAATTATAGGAAGTGCATTTGTAGCTAATGTCACATTAGTACATACTGATGATGTTGCTTGTGTAATATCAGTCTTACAATTGGATAAATCTGAATTAATGGTCAACTTATTCTTTTCATCTGATACTGAATTATTTGTAATCTGTTGATTAGTACCAGACACATTTTCTGTATTTGGTAAATTAAATGTTATGTGTTTGACCGTTTTTATATTACTTTTGGGTGATGTAAGTGCTGGCACTATAGCAGATGTAGTAATAGGTGTCGTATTAACATTAGTTGTAGTTGTTACAGAATTGAGCGTTGCACAATCTGCAGAGGAAGAAATTGCAGGAGCAACCTCACTAATTTCTTCTGCCTGAATCACAACATCAGGATTAATTCTGCTTGCTGCTGAAAATATCATCAAATAGTGTATCAGAAATTGGATCATATAATTTAAATGAAATAAAAATGAGAACTATAAATACTTACCTTTACCAGATATGGCATCAAACATACTCTGTAATCTTGCTCGCATACTAGTTTGTCTCATGTTCACTATATCTTTTTTCTTAATTTCTTCTGCATCGTCGGTAGTAAACTTTGTCTCTATTATGTTTCCTTGTTCTTCAACGAGTGATCTTAACTTTTCATTTCTTTGCGGTTCTGCTCTCATAAAAAGTTTATCCGTGAATTTTGTTGCCGCTATAGAAGTTTCATTATCCTTATATTGAGATCTCATATTTTCTTCATTAGTAGAAATTGTTTCAGTATCATTAGAATTCCTTGTGTTTCTTGAATTTTTAAGAATTCCTTTAATAGGAGATTGTTCTTGCGTTTTATTAAGGGACTTCGATAAATTCGAATTTGTAGACAGTTTCTTATTCACAGCTGGTGTACTATCATTTGCATTTATATTTTGCACTTGTGCTAGTGTTCGTGAATCTCCATTTTGTATATGCTCCAAGGATTTAAAATGTTTTTCAAAATCGGATGTTCCGCTGCGGGAACAGTCAACTAAAATCATATTAGAATATATTATGTAATAAATTTATTAACGTGTAATTATATATTACATATGAAGAAAATATTATATATATATGTATATATATATATATATACCAGCTTTTCTTTTGATACCAGTAGCAACATGAATACTTGAACTTAGTGAACATAATATATCATAGCAGGATGGTGTTTTACTACGTTTTGTAGGTCTAAGATTTTTATCCGGAGGTGAATTATCTTCTTCAGATTTGGATGATTCATCTCTACCTCTCTTTTGTTTTGTTTCTTCAAAATTTTCTACTTCATTCACAAATATACCATCTGTTCTTTGCTTCTTTACTAAATCAGACGTAACATCTTCTTTGGATGCATGCCTTTTCAATGATATTTCCCTTAGGACCTGTGCAACACTCGATGGTGATTTATTTTCTGATTGACATATACCAGACAAGACTTTCTGCCTTTCTGGAGGAGAATATCTTGTAGTTTCTGGTGGTGCAATTCTAACTGTAACAGGTCCTCTTATTTTTGCAGATTTTGCATTAATCAAAGGAATAGGACTTGCATGAAGATTAACTTTTGGAAATTGACCAGTGCCATACTGTGACTGATGGGTCAATTTATTATTAGCTTCAGCAGCATATTTAGTTAATCTTATAGTTAATCCTGGTGATGTTACATCTGTATATGTCCTATTAGAAGAAAAAAAAAAAAAAAAAAAAAAGAAAATTAAATATAATTTGATATTTAATTTTAATATTTATAAAGTTTTAAGATTACTTACTTAGGATCAATGTTATATCTTGTTGAAGCTAACAATGGGCCTGCAACTGTCTGTACGGTTTTTACTCCACCAGCTTTTGATCTCATTTTGGGACTTATACTCGTACCCCATGGTGATCCGTCTGGTGAAAACAACGTACTATTTTCGCCTCGTGTTAATGTATGATTCTGATTAAACATGGGCGATGTTTTCTTTGGCGATGACCAATTTGTCTTATATCTGGCATCTATATTATGCAGATCATCCTTTTTGTATTGAGATAAGGGTGTCGAAGTATATTTGTTGTAAATATTGTTCTGATTAAATGATTGATATTCGTTATCGTGATTAAATTTATTTTCCGAGATATTCGACACATTTGAAGTATTTTTATGTGCAGTCCGAGATATTGGACTTAATTGTGGAATAAGATTGAATCTTGGTGTATTTCTACTATTAAAAGTAGTGTCACTGCTAAGCTGATATCTACTTATTCGACGTCGTTCCATTCTGACTGAGAAACGTTCGCGATAAACGTTTTTAATCTTATTCCAAAGATGCGTTAACTGTCTTACTACATAAACAATAGCTCGGCCTAAGGTATCTTTTAATTCGATAACGGCTTCTTTGAAATATTCAAAAAATATAAATGCATGCGGCGATAGCAAGCTATCGTTGGTGATCAAAGAATAGCACGCATAAATCACTAGAAATAACGAAACAATTACCGCGAGAATAGGACCCCAGGCGTTGTATAATAATATACACCCACTCAGCACACTTAACGACACAACGACACCCCGGCTTTCTAGTTCCAACATATTATTTCAAAAAAATAACCTCCCCATGTTTGAAAAGAGCACACTCACTGAACTACCGGAACTTTGTCCGTATAAAATTATAAGGATTACTGAATATTACATAGAGCGGGAAGTGGTGTATTATAACGAATAAAGGGTGCCCGAGTGATACTAGGAAATGACGTCACAAAGAGATTGATTTTTCGACCAATCAAAATAATTCGCTACTGAAAATATCTTTTATACCATCTGTGATAATTTAGTTCCATTTTATTTTATAAATAAATTTACGTATTTTGTTTTTAACAAATATTTATATACATTTATATATAAGAAAAGTTTGAAATTTATACATTTGATATTACTATAACCTATACGAATAAAATAAACTTTACTTATTATTATTTTCAATTAAAATAATACAATATGAATGAAAATGTGATCCGTTATACGATACAATATTATCCCTGATCAATCTTTATATTTCAACCTATCGTAATCGTTGTTTCTTTGGACAATACGTATTTAAATTTGTTTATTTTATTTTCAATTATTTTCATAAATTCAATCCTAATTTTACATACATATGTATATATTATTAGTGAAATATATTTATAATATATATTTACAAATCATATAATCATATAAATAAATATTTCCTGATGTTAGTTAATCAAAATACGACGGCCATTACGTTTTTGTCACTTGATGAAATAATTATATTCATTTTACTTATTTTCTACTTTTAACTCTTTTTATTAAATCTTTTTCTCGATCAAAATTCACTTTATCGATTATGTAATAAATGATTTATTTGAATGCAAAAAATATTACAATTAAAATTTAAAACAACATTTAAAAGGTATATTTTTCTTTCTTTTTTTTTTTTTTTAACGTTGTTTTATTATCCATAATGTTAACATATTATAAATTATTTATTATTTTCATGTGTATATTTTTTAAAACAATTGGATGAATGTAAACGTAGTTTGACAAAAAGAAATCATTTATCTTCTAATACTTTTGATTGAACAAACAAGATAATTTTTCTCATTTTCTTGATATTATTGATTTATGATGCTAAAGCATTACATTCAAATGTTGTTCTTTATTAAAGAGAAAAGAAAAAAAAAAGAACAGTGGGAAGATATAGATAATCATATGACAAAAATATTTTACTTTATTTCTTCTTATTGATTTAATGATGTCATTGTCTTAAAATAATTCTTCATTTTCATTAAATTTTTAGCTATGATTAATGGTATACACATTAATATTTATATTCAAAGAAATGAATGAATATATATCATCAGTCTAATAATATATAAATAACTTTATAAATAATAGATATAGATAATTTTCAATCAAAATATTTTTATTCTTTATTGCTGGTATATTATTGGTATGCCTGAAAGTTACACTTTTTATATAATCCCAAATATTATCCGGATCTGATAGAAATATTTCGACTGGATGGAGGTTAATTAATAAAAAATAAAGAAACAATTAAAAAAAGAAAGAAAAAAAAATTAAAAAAAAATAAAAAACAATAAATAATACGTTCACAAGTATTGCATGTCTCTTTATGGGGAAGGAATAATAAATGTCTCAATGACATAGTTCAAAATGATATTTTATTTACAAAGATTACAAATTACAAACGTTACAACTTCTCAAAGAAAAAATTATTTTTCCCTAGGAATTCCAAATTTTATTCGAGAAATTTTATATTTTTTTTTTTTCTTTCTTTTTTTCTTTCTTTTTTTATAACCTAATTTTATTTCGCACTTATATTGTGATACGTTCAATGCCGTCTATGCTTACTGCGATGTTTACTTGATTTTTCCGAATCTCTTTCTCGGGATCGACTATGTGATCTGTAACGACTGCGTGATGATTTGTGACTACCTGATCTTCTTCTTTGAGCTTTCTTGGGTTTACGAGATCTACCATGGCTATGGCTACGAGATCTACTTCTACTAGCATGTTTCTTTCTTTTATTATGCTTTGCTCCTTCTCCTTTCGACGGAGAAGTACTGGTTGACTTGGAACGTCTAAAAAAAAAAAAAAAAAAAACAAACAAACAAACAAACAAAAAAGGAAAGAAAAAGAAAGAAAATGAAAGAGAAAGAGAGAGAGAGAGAGAAAAACGAACAAAAAAGAAATACACTGGCAAAACTATATGAACTAAACGAAAAATATTATAAACTCTTACCTCGGTGATTTAGTTCTTTCTGGCACAGCGTGTGTGCCACTGCGACTAATAAAACCACCCCAAGCATTATGATGTTTAGGCAATGGTGGACTTGGAGTATGACTATCAACATCACCACCTCGAGCTTTTGTTCTTGCCTCCTCATATTGGCGACGCAATTCTTCCACTTTTTTTTCCAATTGTTCTGGGTTTACACGTGGCCTATAATATAATCGTAAAATGCGACGGCAAACGTCCCTTATAGCAGATTCATTGACTTTGAAAAGGGAAAACCACGGTGGCGAGGATGGCAAAGGTAATTGAAGCTGACGAGCACCCAAATATACGCATGCACACGCTACGGTTTCTGGTTGATGCCTCAGAAATACATCCGATCTTAATGAATCATTCATATAATTCCAGCATTGTTGCATCAGGGCACGATTCCTTTCATAACCCAAAACTTGCAAGTACATTACTATGATTTTGTGCGGATGTTTTACATGTACACAAAAACCCAATTCCTTTAATACTCTTCGTTCTGACTTAATAACTTGATTTTTCAATGCTACATAATTCTGATCCAGTATTACGGGTTGTATCGGCCTAAAATGTATGAAATAAATGAAATTTAATTGCATATACATAATTTTTTTTTTTTTTTTTTTTTTTTTTTTCCAACGATGTAACTATTAGGTTGGAAACTATGAAACGGGCTTTTTTGTTTAGCCTTTTTATTTTCATTCGACGCCCGTTTCACAGTTTCCAATCTAATATTAAATAAAAAATATTTACCTTTGACAGGAAACTTGCTTAATGTGATTAAAAACATTAATAACATCTCTAATCCTTCTGGGTGCTTCTTCTATCTTACAAGCTAAACAGATACAACCCATGGCTGTTATTTCCATATTATGCCTGACTAATGATTTACTATAATAAAAGCGTTGAAATATTACTTGTCCAGTGGCCATTGCAACCTGTAAAAGATAATTTACGAGGAAAGAGCTTTTTCCCGATTTGAAATTGATTATTAAAAAAAGTGATATTGTTGTATACTTTAACATTATAAATGATTTTGACGAATATAACTATGTCGTTACTGTAAGGAGAATTCAATTGTAACGAAGAAAATAGGTTCTCTTTTTTTTTTTTTTTTCTTCCTTTTTTTTTTTTTTTTTTTTTGTTTTACTTATAATATTACACTTACTTTCATCTCGAATGGTTGTACCAAACCAATTTATTTGCCATACTAACTACAAGGGATATCCAAATATGTACAATAATAATACATACAATTTTATTGGGATTATACCATGTTATAATGTTGTAGATATCACGAAAGATACGTGAAGAAAACGACGAGAGAACGTGACGATAGTATCATGTTCCTTCCTCTTCCTTAATTTGTACGATACCTTTAGATTTACAATCTCGCGGAGTTTAACTTCGCAATAGAATTAACTTACAATTTTCTATTGTGCTTAACTATAAACATAATGTACCTTATTTTTGTATCATAGAAAGAATGATTGTACAGAGATTACAGAGATTAGAAAATTCCTAAGCGTGCAATATATACAAAATTAAGAGTACATTTACTAACCTGAGGTAATTTCAAAAGAATTCCAGCCGTTTGTATTAGTTCACATCCTAATATTCGAAGGTCTGTTTCAGTTTCGGCATCTAAATCGTCTAAATGCGATGGGGTGTTATTAAGCTTTTCCTCTGGTAAAAGACAATTTTGCAATGTCAGTACTATCTTCCCGTAAGATTTAGTATTAGGAACGGTCGTAGGTTTTGTTATTGTCGTTGAATTTTCTTTCACACTCATTTTTATGATTAAAAAAAATTTAACAGACTATTTCAATACTTTATATTTAACCAAACAACGGCCATTTTATTTCATTCCCTAATAGCTTTTCTCTGATGTATGTACTACGCTGGATAAAGTTTACTAGGGAATTGTCAATAGTCGAAATAATCCCTAGACTCACTTCCGGAAAATGACATCACGATAATACATTTCTTTTTTGTTTTTCTTTTCTTTGTTACTTCATTGTGTTCTTTCTTAACTTGTGTTTTATTATACTTCATTGATATATATATATATTTATATATAATATATTTCTTGTTATATTTTTTGTAGTTTAATTAATGTTAAAATAACATTAAGACATTATTGTGCGAAGAACGCCATCTAAGATGTTGATCGTAAGACGAATATTTTGATTGGTTATAATAGGTATCACGTGATAATCATGAAGAACTTATATCATGCATCGATTGGATAAATTCTTCAGTACGAAATCTAATAGAAATATAACCTATTACCATTTTCGACCAATCACGATTAACTCGATCGACAGTCTGGCCAATAGTAAAACTTTCAACGGTATGTCCTTCTTAACTTATATTTTCGTGATATCAATAATATTTTGAAAAGAATTTTCTACGTAATATGAAAATGTATATATATATATATATTCTATTAGCTCATTTTAATTAATTATTCTATTTCTTCCGTAATATCTATACGTTTCTTTATTTATCGATAATATAAATTAATAACGAAATACTATGAAAAGTTTGACTTGTTATAATGCTGATCGACGTTTAATCGTTGATAAAAATTTGATTGGTAATCCATGAGATTGATCGAAGTGTTTGTTAAATTTAATTAGAAAAAAAGAAAAAAAGGAAAAACTCGCGAATATCAAAGAATGATCATAATCGAAGATTAGTAATTATTAAATATACACGTGAGTTTATTTTACGTTCATAAAAACGAAAGAAATTATCGTTGATTTTGAATATGAAATTTTACGCTGGTATAAGAATTGTTATTTATTTAACATTGAACTTATAATCGTACGATTATAAAAAGAAATAAAAAGAAAAAAGAATTTATATAATTTTCTTATTACAGTCAGTACGTAATTTACTTATTTATGGTTGAATATTAAGCCAACATCGAGAAATCCAAAATTTGTTTTTATAATACAACGCGCAAACGATACGTATATATATATATATATATATATATATATATATATATATATATATATATACTCAAGACATTTTATTTCATGAATTTTTTATTTTCATATGTATATATATATATACATACACATAATTATATATATACATACATACACATAGTTATTATATATATACATAGATAGCTTTATATATATATATATGTGTGTGTGTGTGTGTTTGTGTATGTATGTGTGTGATACAGCGACTATGAACATAGAATACAATATACGATTAAGGATTAACATAATTATGATAAACAGTAGAGGTCATTGTTTTACAAGAAGATTATAATATTTACGTATGTTGTTCGTCTTGACATAAGAATGTTCGGTGAAATACATTCTTTAGGTTCTTCCGGCCGGATGAACTTTCTTCCCCTTTATTTCTTTCTACTTCCTTCTCTTTGTCCTACTTCTCTTATGTCGTATTTATGTTGTATACGCCAGATATACAACAGGATCACGCGAGTTTTAAGCACGAACGATTCTCACATGTATACTTCTGACAGTAGTAGTCTGTTATTGTTATATTATATCCAATTATCCTCTCTCTCTCGCTCTCTCTCTCTCTCTCTCTCTCTCTCTCTCTTTTTCACTTGGGCGAAGATCTTCTCCTATTGTAAAATTCAAAATGTTCCTAACTATTACTGACAAAGTGCAGGAAGTGTATGACGATAAAATAACGATGATTGAAGTTAACAAAGATCTCGAGTCCTACGGCGGTTAAAAAATGTCCATCCCAATTGGAGATAAATACTCTTATAATATTATTTTTCGTATGATTAATACTTACCACTATGCCTTAAAAAAAAAAAAAAAAAAAAAAAAAAAAAAAAAAAAAAAAAAAAAAAAAAAGGGAGAGAGAGAGAGAAAAGAAAAAAAGAAAGAGGAAAATAAAAACAAAACAAAACAAAACAAGAAAAAAAACAAAAAGATGGAATTAAGGATAGACGGGGGTGGGGGAATATGGACGGGGCAAAAAAAATATTCGAAATGGGAATGATCCTGTGCTCGAGTTTTCCACTTTAATATAAACAACATTTTAATTTCACTTTTTATAATGTAATATTTTTATAATTATTATTCGCATCTACGAGCACAGAATTGTGTTTAAAGAAATAATTTATTTGGCATGTATATATATGGATACGTATGTATATATATATATATATATATACACATACACACACATATATATATATACATATATGTATATACATGTGTATATATATATTTATATATATGTGTGTGTGTATGTATATTTATATATTAAGTGATATTTATCACTTGTTACATGCCACTTTTCTTAATTGTATTTAATATACGGAAGATTCATTCAACCGATTTAATGTGGGTACTTAACGGACGACACATCTTTCGTCGATTAATCGATCGATTCTCTTCAAAATCGATTTCTTTCTTTTTGTTTTTTTTTTTTTCCTTTTTTTTTCCTTTTTTTCTTTTTTTATCTTTCTTACCAAGTAGTAGGATTTGATGCATTATACCTGGCACGTATGACAGGTTAATATAGTAGCTATAAATATATACATTTTTAAAAAAGAATACATAAATATATATAAATGCTTATATGTGTAATTATAATATATATATATATATATATGTATATATATATATATATAATATACAAGATGTTTCATTTTTAATCGACACCGGCAAAAAATATTTCCGTTTCTATTGATCTTATAAGATCAATATTATTTATAAACAATAATGTTTTAACATAAAAGATTTTTAGATATACCTGACAAAATATATAATTTGTTAGATCTTTTAAAACAATTCCATAACTCGATTGAAAAATATCGATCGAAAAGATGAGCAGTAAATAAGTGGCTCGTTGGATACGTATTGATATTTTTTTTCTACAATTTTTTTTGCTAGGCTTAAAATATCGATTTTCATATTGAAAAAAAAAAAAAAAGGAAAGAAAGAAAAAAAAATAATAATAATAATAAATAAATAAAAATAAAAATAAAGATAAATAAATAAATAAATAATTATTTACGATGCCCGCATATAATAACAACAGCATCCTCTATGAGATCGCTGTCGTATATAATTACATTTCTCATTTTTAAATCTAACAAACTTTTATTTAATAACATTTGTTTATAATCCAAATAAGATCGGAGATATTCGTTCGTATCTTTTAAAATGAAACAACCTGTATATTTATATAATC